GGGGAAGATGGGGAGGAGGGGAAGATGGGGAGGAGGGGAAGATGGGGAGGAGGGGAAGATGGGGAGGAGGGGAAGATGGGGAGGAGGGGAAGATGGGGAGGAGGGGGAGATGGGGAGGAGGGGAAGATGGGGGAGGAGGGGGAAGATGGGGAGGAGGGGAAGATGGGGAGGAGGGAAGATGGGGAGGAGGGGAAGATGGGGAGGAGGGGAAGATGGGGAGGAGGGGAAGATGAGGAGGAGGGGAAGATGGGGAGGAGGGGAAGATGGGGAGGAGGGGAAGATGGGGAGGAGGGGAAGATGGGGAGGGAGGGGAAGATGGGGAGGAGGGGAAGATGGGAAGGAGGGGAAGATGGGGAGGAGGGGAAGATGGGGAGGAGGGGAAGATGGGGAGGAGGGGAAGATGGGGAGGAGGGGAAGATGGGGAGGAGGGGAAGATGGGGAGGAGGGGAAGATGGGGAGGAGGGGAAGATGGGGAGGAGGGGAAGATGGGGAGGAGGGGAAGATGGGGAGGAGGGGAGATGGGGAGGAGGGGAAGATGGGGAGGAGGGGAAGATGGGGAGGAGGGGAAGATGGGGAGGAGGGGAAGATGGGGAGGGGGGGAAGATGGGGAGGAGGGGAAGATGGGGAGGAGGGGGAGATGGGGAGGAGGGGGAGATGGGGAGGAGGGAAGATGGGGAGGAGGGGAAGATGGGGAGGAGGGGAAGATGGGGAGGAGGGGAAGATGGGGAGGAGGGGGAGATGGGGAGTGTTGAGGGCGGGCCGGGCGGCACTGAGCCCGACGCGGAGATTTCGAGGGGGTTGTGCAGGGGAATCAAAGTGGAGGGCGTAAGGGGTAGGGAGATCCCGAGGAGCGGGCTGATGGGGGAGGTGGGCAAGCCAGCTAGCACGAGAAGAGAGAGGGATGGGGGAGAGGGGGGTGACGAGGGGGAGGAGGGGGATTGTGGAGGGAAATGGGTGATGGGAGGAAGGGAAGGGGCGGGATGCGATGTACTCCCAGTTCGCGCATCACTCCCAGCAGTGAGGGCGCAAGGGGGAAGTGGGGGGTGCGGCACTGTGCACTGTGCAGATTCTATCATATGGACAGCAGGCGCGGCAACTATGCACTGTGCAGGGGGTGAGGCGTGGTAAGGGTTGGGGCACTGTGCAGGTTCTATCATAAGACCGCAGGCGTGGTGACTCACTAGTAGCGGATATTGGCGGTTGATGCGCTCAGGCGCGCTTAGGCAAGCTTTGGCGTGCTCTGATGCGCTCTGGTGCGCCTGCACGAATGCCGAGAGGAGATTTTGAGCGGAAATGCCATCCCCAAAATGTTTCTGACCCTAGCGTGACCCACCTTCCGGCCTGACCCAAGCATTGCCTGTAAATGCCCCCAGAGTTACTTTGGGGTCAAATTAGGGTTAGTGGTCAGAACAGGGTCAGTATTGGGTCAATAAGTTTCTGCCTCAAACCTTACCCAAAGCTCGATCTGACCCGAATGTGTCCCAAACCTGCCTACCCCTTGTTCCTTGACCACCCGGGTTCAATTCTCGCCGTGTAACTAAATAAAAATCCACTCAACATCATTGTACAAATTTTTTTTTTTAAGACTTCTGAATCTGACTTGCGCGGAAGGTCGGGGGATCGGTGCTCGCTTGGTGCGTTTCAACGAGCACAAACAGGAAATTGCAACAAAACAGTTACAAAACATCATTCTTGCCAACACAACATTTGAACTTGAAACCTTCCGAACAGAATGAGATTCACGAATCACTGTGCTAAACTACTGTGAGACATTGTCGGCTGTAGTTTATACAATAAAAAAAAAAATGAAACTAAAAACTGGAACCACCGAGCATCGAACCCTCGGCCTTTCGATCCAGAAGCGAAACTCTCTACCACTGTACACACCACTTACCCATTGTGATATTGTTGAGTTATTACACATAACGCAAAAAATTCGAGATGATGTTTGTTATCCTTCTCGCCCCACAAGTCGCCACCTGTCGCCCCACCTGCCACACAAATCACCTCATCGCATCATGACGCGGCCCCTTAGCTAGATCGTGCAATTAGCTGAACTCACGACCGTAACAAACCCTCGCGAATTGCACTTAAAACTTCTCGACATTTATTTTGACCACGTTGAAACCCGATCCTGCGTATGATCGACCGCAGGATCGCCGTTCTGTTGACGCGCCCTCAACTAACCCTCCACAACCCCACCTTCTCGACATTCCCCCTCCTAGTCCTCTCACTTCATCATTTTTTGTTTCACTTCTACCTGTTCCATGTTTTAATCTCGTGTTCCATGTTTTAACCTAGCTGTTATCTTGCCAGCTAGAAGCTAAGCCATCCCTATCTTCTAGGAGTCCTTATCCTACCGTAGATCTGGACCATATCGGTTCTCTCCCTAACCCATAAACTTAGCCATTAATGAGATGTTTCTACAGTCTCACTAGTTTACGCGCCGCCTGTGAGTTTTTTTCAATCTATATATTATTGTTTCCCGCTACTTACCTTCTGGTAGAAAACGAGTGTCAACACGACATGAGAGTCTTCAGCGACAGAATGATAGTCATTCATGGTGACGGTTGTGCGGATCTGATTTTATTACCTATATCTGTTATACTCTGTCTCTCCACCATTGCGATTTATCAAAGTAGTCTTTCCAGACAGATTTGTTGTTCTGTTGTCCCAATACCTTTGTCGTCTTTCCTTCCCTTATTCGCAGAACGGAAAGTGTAGTTAATGGAGGTACGAATGTGACGTTTATTTTTATAAAGCTATTCCTAAATCTGTTAAACTATGTTTGCTACTGCCATTGGCAATTTATCAATGTCGTCTATCCATGCAGATTGTTGTTTCGTTTTCCCCATAACACTGTCGTCTTTCCTTTGTTTTTTCGCAGAACGGAAACTGGAAATAATGGAGGTACGCTCGTGAATTTTTTTTTATTATGCCAATCCCCATGTCATCTTAATTCACTGAATAGTAAACGTGGTGATTTCAGAATACTGTATATGTCTACAAGCTGGGGATTATATATTCGAGATTACATGGACGTGAAGATCTTTCCGTTATTATTTTGCCATCTAAATGTCATTTTAGTTCACTGCAGTGAAGGTGATTATGTCATAATACATGTTTTTTTTTATACCTGGTTTATGTCTTGAATAGAGTATTTTACCCTCTAATGTATGTTGGTTTTGTGTTCTCAGGTTGTTTTAGCACTGCGGTGATTTTCATATTATGGGGCCTCTGTAGAAGGCCCTGATTTTTACATAGTCGTGCTGATGTTATTTGACGTTTTGTTATATTGTGTTATATAAATTATACAATTTTAACCAAAAATTGCTTATTCTGAAAAAGAACACACTGTAACGGGGATATAATCAGGCCATGCGCTGGCCACGTGTGACCCGAAACTGACCCAAATCTGACCCGTACCTGACTTTTCCCGCCAAATCTTAACCTGTACCTGACCCGTACCTGACTTTTCCCGCCAAGACCTGACCCGTACCTGACCCATACCTGACCCGTACCTGACCCGAAAGTCACTTATGGGTTAGGCCATCTAACCTCAGACTAGCCTAAAGTGTCAGTTCCAGAAGTAACTTTTGGGTCAGTTTCTGAGGTGACCTGAATGTTGCCCCGGAGTAACCTCGGGGTCCATTTCGGGTCAGAACATTTTAGAGATGGCCGCAGCCGCAGCGCTCCGCGCGCGCCAATTAACTGCCTGCAGGGCCGGGCGAGCGGTGGTTCCGCCCGGTGCTGAGCGGCACGCGCTCAGGCTGTAACGCATGCGTCTCAAAAATTGCGAGGGGCCAAACTCACCCCCAATGCAGGCTGTCTCGAGGTAACCTACTGTTAGAAACAATAGGAGTGGGGCCTAGGCTTAGTAGGTTGTGCCCTAGGACTAGGGTTTGTGGTATACGAAGGAGAATTGGAGAAGTGAGAATGGGAATGATGATTGAACTAGCAAGCAGCAGGATACATATAGGAAACCCTAAGGGGTTGTACTCACTATTGAGCACCCCACTGCAGGCTAGACAAATAACATAATCTGACACACCCCCATAGCCAAAGTGGGGTGTAATCAGCACACGTGAGAAGTCACAGCAATAGTTCACAATTATCAGCAAAGCTAGTGGCAGTCACAGGAGGCCAGTGAGGAGGAGGAGGAACTGTGGAGGGAGAGAAGCAAGGAGGCGACTACTGAAGTTGCAGACACACGGGCACCAGGAGCACCAGGCTGCAACCTCCTCCAACTGTCTCACTCCCCCCTACACACACCCCCAGGGTCACCACTCGCTCCACGCCCACATCACCCCCCTAGCGCCACTCCCTCGTCTCCCACACATCCACCCCCGCAGCGGCAGCTGCAGCAGTGGGAGACGGAGGAGAAGGAAGGGGCGACGCACACGGAGCACCCCCACACCCGCCACCCCCACACCCTCCTGTCCAGGGGACCCAGGGGGGGGGGGGGGGGGGGGGGCGGGGCGGGAGAGCGCACGAGGGCGCAGGCAACCGCGCGTGCAGAGCAACAGCGCGGAGCAGGTAGGGTAGAGCGCACGAGGGCGCGGGCAACCGCGCGTGCAGAGCAACAGCGCGGAGCAGGTAGGGTAGGGCGCACAAGGGCGCGGGTGAGACTGAGCGTGACTGCACAGGGTCCAGGAGCGGCGTCGCGGGCAGCTGCATGGTCGGCTGCTGCTGGTGCGGTTGCTCCAGGGGCGGCGACTGAGGTTCTGGGGGCAGCTGCAGCAGTGGCGACTGCTCCAGGGGCCAGGGGCGGCTGCTGCAGGGGCGGCTGCTCCAGGGGCGGCGTCGCGGGCCCAGGGGCGGCTGCACCAGGGGCGGCGGCTCCAGTGGCGGCTGCTCCAGAGGCGGCTGCTGCAGAGGCGGGCGACTCCAGGGGAGGCTGCTGCAGTGGCGGGCGGCTCCAGGGGCGGCTGCTGCTGTGGCGGGCGACTCCAGGGGCGGCTGCTGCAGTGGCGGGCGGCTCCAGTGGCGGCTGCTGCAGTGGCGGGCGGCTCCAGGGGCGGCTGCTGCAGTGGCGGGCGGCTCCAGGGGCGGCTGCTGCTGTGGCGGGCGACTCCAGGGGCGGCTGCTGCAGTGGCGAGCGGCTCCAGGGGCGGCTGCTGCTGTGGCGGGCGACTCCAGGGGCGGCTGCTGCAGTGGCGGGCGGCTCCAGGGGCGGCTGCTGCAGTGGCGAGCGGCTCGAGGCGCGCCCTGGCCTGGCGCAGTCCGTACGGGCCGCGCTGGCGCTCGCGGCTGGCCGTGGCGCTGGCGTCCGCGCGGGGCGACGAAAGGGGGGGCGCGGGGCGACGAAACGGGGGCCGCGGGCGACGGGAACGGGGGGCCGCGGGCGACGGGAACGGGGGGCCGCGGGCGACGGGAACGGGGGGCCGCGGGCGACGGGAACGGGGGGCCGCGGGCGACGGGAACGGGGGGCCGCGGGCGACGGGAACGGGGGGCCGCGGGCGACGGGAACGGGGGGCCGCGGGCGACGGGAACGGGGGGCCGCGGGCGACGGGAACGGGGGGGCCGCGGGCGACGGGAACGGGGGGGCCGCGGGCGACGGGAACGGGGGTCCGCGGGCGACGGGAACGACGCGGGGCGACGCGGGGGCGACGGGGCAGAAAGCCGCCGCGCGCCTCGGGGCGCACGGCGGGCAGAAAACCGCCGCGCGCCTCGGGGCGCACGGCGGGCAGAAAACCGCCGCACGCTCCGAGCGCGCACGGCGGGCAGAAAACCGCCGCACGCTTCGAGGGCGCGGCGGGATGAAAAATTAGGGTTTCGCCGCCGCGCACCACGGGGCGCGCGGCGGACACTACGGCAGCGGAAGCAGGTGGTGGGCCCATAGAGGTAAGCGGCAGGAACGTGCTCGCTCTAGATACCATGTTAGAAACAATAGGAGTGGGGCCTAGGCTTAGTAGCCTAGGCCCACACTAGGAGGTAGTAGGTTGTGCCCTAGGACTAGGGTTTGTGGTATACGAAGGAGAATTGGAGAAGTGAGAATGGGAATGATGATTGAACTAGCAAGCAGCAGGATACATATAGGAAACCCTAAGGGGTTGTACTCACTATTGAGCACCCCACTGCAGGCTAGACAAATAACATAATCTGACACCTACAACAACTTGGCCCGATGTATGCTCGAAGTTCCCCCCAACTTACCCCAATGCTCCGAACAAACCCACGATGTCCCAACACCATTTGCGCGAAAACCCAACTGAACAACGAAACTTCGGCAACCTAGGTAACTTGCAACAGTACTCGTTCTGTATATTGTTAGCCTCTCGATTTTAATACATGTACGCTATACATACGTATAAAGCTCACGATGTGATCCCGATAAATAAAAACATGTCGTGTCATTTTGGAAAATGTGCATCCAGTTTCTGAACTTAACATTCCAAATCGGGATTATAACAGCATAAATTTATGTTCGTGCTTTGCTTCACCTTTTTTAGATCCTAACAGAATTTGTTACTTATCGATCATATAAACTTAAAGGCGACGCAAAAAAACACATGCAATTTAGAAGTGCATTGTTGCAAAGCAGAAATAGATAGGGTGCCAAGACGATTCGAATTCTACCTCAGTCTTAGTAACTGAGAACAGCGGAATGAATTGCATTGATTGAGTTGGGGTACAAGTACCTAACCCTATTTGTTTGTACCCCATATAGTATGACCCACTAAGGGCTATAACATTTGACACACCCCCATAGCCTAAGTGGGGAATGCCAAGTAACAGAACACAACCTAAGGTCACAAGACCAGTCACAAGCAAGCGAGAAAACAAAGCTCAGGGTGGATCTCAACGTCACCACACATTCTGAGCACAAACAAGGGGCCACAAGGCCAGTTCAAGAGTGTACAAGCTAATATATATGGTACAAACAAGCAAGAGGCAAGAACTCACTACTGCAGTCTACTAGACCCAGTCTCAACAAGGCCTAACTGCAGACAAAACCGGCGGTGGTCACAAGGCTGAAGAGCCTTGGTGAAGATGTCTGCAGTGTTGGCCTCGGAGGCCACGAAGTCCAGACGTGCCTGTCCACGTCTCTGCAACTCTCGAAGGAGGAAGTACCTGACGTCGATATGCTTCACCCTGCTCTCCAGTCGAGGCTCACGACACAGGAGAATCATCGCCTTGTTGTCAGCAAACAAGGTCGGTGCAGAGCTCGGCCGCTCACCAAGGTCAGTGAGCAAGAAGGTCAACCAGCGTAGCTCCTGTGCAGCGAGGGCTCCAGCGTAGATCTCGGCCTCTGCGGTAGAAGTCGCAACAGAGGAGGACCGAGTAGACCTCCACGAAACAGCTCCAGAGCCCAGGCTGAAACAGTAACCCTGTGTAGACCTCTGTGACTCAACGTCGTCGGCGTACGAGGAGTCGCAGTGACCGGTGAGTACGACAGGCTGTGTCCCTCCAAGTACAAGCCCCATGTCTGATGTCGCGCCGAGGTACTTCGCCACCCTCTTAGCCGCCGCCCAGTGAACAGGACGGTGTCTCCCTGTCGCAACAAAGCGAGAAAGGATGCTAAGAGGGAAGGCGAGGTCCGGGCGAGTGCACGTCATCAGGTACATGAGGCAGCCCACCAACTCTGCGTAGGGACCACTGGGCTCGAACGGCTCGTCAGGAAAAGGCCCAGTGAGTCTGTGGTCTACAGCAAGAGGGGTGGGAGGAGGAGAGGAGTGCTGAAGCCCGAACCGCTGAAGGACCTGCTGCACCATGTGTGACTGAGTCAGAGTGATGGTGCGAGCGGCTCTGTCCCTGGAGATCTGCAGGCCAAGGTAGCGGCGCAGTTCCCCAAGGTCAGTGCAGGTATGTCTCTTCTGCAGTTCGGACTTCACCTCCGCCAGTGCAACTGTGTCGGCTGTGGCAAAAACCAGGTCGTCAACGTAGACAAGAACAAAGAAAGGTGTGCGCCCACGACGAACAAACAGCGACGGGTCGGCGGAAGACGGCTCAAACCCAAGGTCGGACAGAGTAGAGCGGAGAGTGTCGTGCCACTCACGGGGTGCCTGGCGGAGACCGTAGACCGGTCGTCTGAGGCTCCACTGGGTCCCAGGCGGGAAAGTGCCAGTGAAGCCCGGAGGACGACGCAGCCAGATCTCCTCATGTAGGCTGCCCTGCAAGAAGGCAGTGGAGAAGTCGAGAGAGTGAAGCTCGTAGTCTCTCTGCGCTGCTACGTGCAGTAACACCCGAAGAGTGGTCATCTTCGGGGTGGGCGCAAAGGTCTGAAAGAAGTCAACTCCCTCACGTTGATTGAAACCTCTAGCCACGTAGCGTGCCTTGAAGACTGGAGGAGATCCCGGCGGCCGCTTCACCTTGAAGATCCACATGCCGTCAACAATGTTCGCCCCTGGGGGGGGAACCTCGTCAACGTAAGTGCCTGTGGATCTGTAGGAGGCCATCTCTGCGTCCATGGCAGCTCTCCACTGAGAGGCCCAAGGCCCTGACACTGCCTCAGCGTAAGTGCGAGGAGTAGGTATGTCAGGAGCGTCGGGGTCTCCCTCAGGAGCGAGCAGCATGGCACAGAGATGAGGTGAAGCGGCTGCCAGGAACTCTAGCTCAAACTGTCTATCCTCTAGGACGGCACAGCCAAGGGCAGACTCACCCCCGGCGGACAGAGGACGGACAGGAGGAGCCGCCACAACGCGAGTGGCGTAGTCAAGGCGACGCGTAGCAGTAAAGTCTGTGACAGCGGCAGTGAGGACCGCGACGGAGGAAGGAGAGGCACGAGGGTCTGTAACAAGAGAGGCGAGAACACGAGAGAGAGTGGGGCGGTACGTGCGGTAGTAGTCAGTGACCGGAGTGGACAGGGAGGCAGTGAGGGACGACTCAGGAGGACGAGGAAGAACAGACGGAGGAGAACGAGGAGGACTAGGACGAAACAACACGGTACGAAGGTCACGGACAGGTGACGAGGGACGAGCACGAGGAGGACGAGAGGCCCAAGTGTGGGAGAGAGGAGTGGGAGACGGAGCGGGAGACGGAGGAGACTGAGAACGAGGGAACACAGCCGGAGCTGAGTCCGGAGGAGGAAACGTCGGACCGAACACAGGAGGAGAGGAGGAGGGGAGACCAAGGGCCCGAAGGCCAGTAACAGAGGCCGGAGGCTGCTCCGGCTGCTGCGGCGGCTGCTGCTGCTGCTGCTGCTGCTCCCGCTGCAACTCCAGCCTCTCACGCTCTACCCGCTGCTGAACCTCCATCATCTCACGCTCCAAACGCTGCTGCTCCTCACGCTCAAGACGAAGACGGGTCTGGTGTCGAGTCAGGTAGGGGTGAGGAGGAGGAGTGGTGTCAGGAGACGAAGAAGAAGAACCGGCTCCGCCCTCGACAGCACCCGGCTGAGAACCCCCAGAGCGGCAGCACGACTAGCACCTGTAGGAGGTGGACCCGCACCCCCAGTCGGGGTGCCTCCAGTGGCACCAGCACCAGCCTCAGACTCTCCAGCTCCAGAAACACCACCAGCTCCAGCACCCTCGGAACGGGCAGCCGCGGCAGGTGCACGCTCAGCGCCAACGCCAACACCCCCAGAACGGGCGGCTCCTGTAGGTGCACGAACAGCTCCAACGCCAGCACCCCCAGAGCGAGCACCGCCAGAGCCCTCACCCCGAGCACCAACACCCTCAGAGTCCGCAGTGGCCGGTAAAGGAAGCGCTGACGGCTGCTGCGGAGGCTGTGAGGACGACTGTGGGGAAGGAGGAGAGACCTGGGGGGGTACCGAGGGGGGGGGAGTAGCGTGGGACACACCAGACGGAGCAGGACCAGGGGGGGGTACCGGAGGAGCAGGGGCGGGAGGAGGAGGAGCTGGAGCCAGGAAGAGGGGAGGGGGGGGAGCCTAGAGCGCTGGCTAGGGCGTTGTCTAGGGCGGTAGCTAGGTCGTGGGCGAGGGCGCTGGCTAGGGACGGCATAGGACTAGGAACGGAGGTGACTAAGGCCTAGGAACAACGAACCTACTGCTGATACCATCTTAGTAACTGAGAACAGCGGAATGAATTGCATTGATTGAGTTGGGGTACAAGTACCTAACCCTATTTGTTTGTACCCCATATAGTATGACCCACTAAGGGCTATAACATTTGTCACTCAGCAACGACGAGCCAGACAGACCTCTGCAACTTCCTCGCCACGCTTTTCCCGTTAGGCGTCACACGCGCAAAATCACAATCAACAGACGAATTGAATCCTGCCACGACTTTTTTTGTGTTGCACTCTGCTGACTGTTTCTCGCTACGTCACCCAATCCTTCCCCCAACTCGAACCACACCCTCGCTAGCGCGCCCAAAACTTGAAGTACGGTGCCGAAGCTTTTTTGATTAATTTCTTCGTTTCTTTGTCAAACCCTTCCACACTGCTATATCTCTGCTCCCCTCGCTGCCATCAAATGTTATGTCCCAGTCACGCTTATCACGCTTCTCAGCTTGATGTTATGCCTCTTCATCATACCAAAAGCTTCATGTTAATCGGTTTCACGCTTTGCGTTTTATTCCCACTATGTGTTTGCTGATGCACTGTCTGTCAGAATGTGATGTTTGTCTAGCCTGCAGTGGGGTACTTTATAGCGAGTATAGCCCAAATTAGGGTTTGCTATATGTACTCAACTGGCTGCTAGTGAAAAGCCCTCTTTCCTGTTTCTTATTTCCTGCCTAGACTTCTTACATGGTATCAGAGCGGTTACGCTCCTGGCCTGTGGGCCCACCGTTAGTTTCCGTTAGCTTCCACCGTTAGCGGTTTTCTGCTCGCCGCGCGTACGGAGCACGCGGCGGTTTTCTGCCCGCCGTGCGCCCCGAGGCGCGCGGCGTTTTCCCACCGTCGAAGCGCCCCCGGGGACCCGCGCGTCGCCCCCCGT